AAATAGTGCTCAGAAATATAAGTCCCAGAGAAATAAGACATTGCTTAGATCTTAGATATCGAACAATTCTTTTTTCACCTATTTTATTAGAAAGAAAATTATTTTACATGTCGATCCCAGGTCCCTCTCCCTCCCCTCCTCCCCTGCACCTCCCCCAACTAATGCCCTACCCATTCCATACCCTTTCTGCTCCCCAGGGAGGGTGAGGCCTTCATAGGGGGTCTTCAACATCTGTCATATTCTTTGGGATAGGGCCTACACCAACCCCCTTGTGTCTAGGCTCAGGGAGTATCCCTCCATGTGGGATGGGCTCCTAAATTCCATTCCTATTGTAGTGATAAGTACTGATCCACTACAAGAGGCCCCACAGATTTCCAAGGTCTCCTCACTGACATCCACATTCAGGGGGTCTGGATCAGTCCCATGCTGGTTTCTCAGCTATCAGTCTGGGGATCAAGAGTTTTCCCTTGTTCAGGTCAGCTGTGTCTGTGAGTTTCACCAGCCTGGTATGGACCCCTTTGGTCATCAATACTCCTTCTCTGCATCTGGATTTCAGTTCAGTTCAAGGTTTAGCCTCAATTTCCAGCAGCTGTAAATTAGTTATCAATCTCATTATCAGGGCAGGGTAGCCTCTCCTCTGTTGCTTAGATTGTTAGTTGGTGTCATCTTTGTAGCTCTCCAGACATTTCCCTAGTGCCTGATTTCTCTTTGAACTTATAACATCTCCCTCTATTCTATTATCTCTTATCTTGCTCTCTTCTGTCCTTCCCCCAACTCAACCTCCCTGTCTCATCATGTCTTCCTCACCTCTTCTCTTCTCCCCTTCTCATTGTCCTGGTTCCCTCTCCCCTCCACCATGCTCCCAATTTGCTCAGGAGATCTTGTCCCTTTCCCCTTCTCCAGGGGATCATGTATGTCTCTCTTAGGGTCCTCCTTGTGATATTGAGCAATTCTTTGCATTAAGTTTTATCTGTAGTTTCCATTCTGCCTTTTTGTCTGAATTTCAGTCCCATGGTTTCTCACAGCAAAAGGAGAACTCTCATTTATTTTTAAGAAATATATTTTATTAATAAACAAAAATAAGAATTACATATATTTATATAAACTAAGAAATAACTAGTTATGACTGTGTAACCAGAAAAGTTGATGCTTTCGGTTTTTCCATATCTTTTCTATTAACCTGTGATTATAGGAAGTAAAACTCATTGTTTGTATACCTTTCTTATTAAGATACCTCTAAAGAATTAACTAAGATTATTTATAAAAGAAAGCATGTAAGTTAAATTTATTCCTGTAATTATTTTATGGACAGATACAGATTGAGCATGACATATTTAAAAAACAGTTTATTTTCTCCTGATGCTGCTCCAGAACATGAATTATTATCTTCTTCTTATGCCTACCATTGCCTGCAGCACATGCTCAGTTCTTAGTTCATTGTCAGCCAAGTGTATAGATTCATCTTCATGCCACTAATGACTTAGCCACTGTGACCTGAATTTAACAGTTCACCCTTCCTTCTTGCAGGGGAAGTCAGTGGCTTGGAACCCAACAGATAGCCATTCTCATTTGCTCCAACATCTTATTTCTTCTATAACTTCCTTTGGTGGGGTTGTCTGTCTCAGGAAAGAGAATAGAAAAAAAAAAAGGTAGAATCCTTGCTAATTAGCTAAAGCTCTTGGAGGTTTACTTCTGTGTTGTTGAATTCCTAATCATGAGCAATTCAGGAATTGACTGTATTTTGGAGGGTGAGTAGAGAATTTCATAGAACCTCACAACATCCATACCCTTTCATCCAGTTCAGGGTACTTTACTCTACTGGGGGGGGGGTTCCCATTTGAACACAGGTTCTATACCCCTGAATTATTCTTTTGGTCTTTGCATAGCTAGGCAACTGTCCTGGTGTAGATCATGTCAAGATGAATCAAGGCAGGCTAACTAGAAGTACCTACTTATTTTCCAAGGAAATTCATGCATTATCAATGCAATCAGTGTAGAAATGTGGTTCACTGACTGATGGGCATCTATGTACTTGACTATCGTGAAGAGCTGGA